AGGACATGGAGCAGGTTGTACTGGGTTACATGTTACCAGTAGCAGGAAAACCTGACCTGACCTTTTGCTCAAAAACTTAAGAAATAATTTGGTTAGTACCAAAAAGTTTATTTTCCCATCATTTCAGTTTACTGATTACATTTTTAATATAAAAATCTCTGCAGCTGATATATATGGGGATTGCTTCATAGAGTGCATGAAAAAGATGAAACTCTATCTGCAAACTTAAGTAAGGCATCAAAACTAGGAGAAAAGACATTATATCCAAATAACAATAAACAAGACGTCAACCTAGCATTAAATGTATTACATGAAACTACATCTGCAGCAATTCAAAGTTATTTTCCTAATGAATTTTCAGCATCAGAATTTTTAAAACTTGTTAATTTATGGTGGGTAATATCTAATTCTAAAATGAAATACTCTAATCATAAGTTTGGAAATGCATCTGTTACGGTAAGCCACACTTTTTACGTGCATTTGCTCACTGGATTGATCAGTGGCAAAATTCGCAATACAGTTCCACCGAAAGCCCTTACTGTAACACTACAAAGCCCTTCTAGTTTAATTGTTACTAAATTAAAAAGAAAAAGTTACTAAAGCCCTTATTGTAACACTACAAAGTACTTCTAGTTTAATTGAAGATCTTCTATTTGAAGGATATAACTATGTCCTAACCTCTCGTTTCCAAAGTGATCTATTGGAGCGACATTTTTCAAAATATCGTCAAATGAGTGGTGGCAGATTTCTTGTTGGATTACGTGAAGTAATAACTTCTGGAAAAATTTTGCAAATGAGATCATTATTAAAAGAAAATTTTGACTTTTGGAAAATGGATTTAAAAACTTTCAAGTCGGTTGTAAATATAAATTCGGTTTTTGAAATTTTTATTAATGATATTCAGGAATGTGATTTAGATGATAACAGTAAAGAAGTTGCTATTTTTATTGCTGGATATATATACAGAAAATTACTCAAAAAAGTTAAATGTGAATTATGTACTTTATTGCTAAAAAGTGATCTCATTGATTTTATTACAGAATATATTGAACTACTATCCAGAGGAGGTCTCATAACTCCCTCAAAATTGCTTGCAAATCATGTTATTATTTGCTTTGCTATGCTTGATGCAGTAAAAAAAAAGTTTTATTTACTGCATTTCTATTAGTAGTAAACTTTTATATAATAGTAAATTTAAAATTTACTATTATACAAAAGTTTACTACTAATAGAAATTCTTGACATCAGAAAAGTTAGCGAATATGTTTTATATGAATATAACTTGAACCACAGCTTTATATTTGAGGATCATTTAAAGTGGGGGCTTTCTCTTGTTAATCAGACAGTAATAAATATTTTTTATAACAATGAACAAAAGATTTTAAGTAATGGAAAGCGCAAAGATGCTGTATTACCTTTTAAAAGAAGACATAGGGAAAAGTAAAAAAAAAAAAATGTAGTTTATGTGTGTGTGTATATATATATAAATATAAATATATATATATATATATATATATATGTATATATATATATATATATATATATATATATATATATATATATATATTCATATATATATATAGATATACATATATATATATATATATGTATATATATATATATGTATATCTATATATATATATATATATATATATATATATATATATATATATATATATATATATATATATATATATATATATATATATATATATATATATATATATATATATGTATATATATATATATATATATATTTATATATATATATATATATATATATATATATATTTATATTTATATTTATATATATATATATATATATATATATATATATATATACATATATATATATATACATATATATATATATACATATATATATATCTATATATATCTATATATATATATACATATATATATATATATATATATAAATATATATATATATATATATATATATATATATATATATATATATTTATATATATATATATATATATGTATATATATATATAGATATATATAGATATATATGTATATATATATATATGTATATATATATATATGTATATATATATATATATATATATATATATATATATATATATATATATATATATATATATATATATATATATATATATATATATATATATATAGATATATATATAGATATATATAGATATACAGGTATGTAGATATATAAATAGATATATTTTGTATATGAAATCTTGATGAAGCTTGCTATTAGTATTTTTTGATTTTTGTCTGAAATCTCTACCGTAAAAAAATGTGTATAAAAATAGTCATATTCCTAATTTTATATTTAAAATTTTAAGTTGTTCAAAAGAAAAAATTATTTGAAGTGAACTACGAAAATCGAATAAACAAATTTAAAAAAAAACTACTAGATGTTAATAATAAAATCAACCTAAACGTTTTTAAATAAGGAAAAACTAATACGAAAAGATATTTTACTATATAAATCTATATTTAATTTAAATAATTATAATATATTTATTAACTTAAATTAAAAAACCTATCAATTTAATTATATTTAAACCTATTGAAACTTAAATCCCGAAAACTTGTAATATTGCAACATATCCGGCCGTGTATAAAGTAGGCCATGATCATTAATCGTTTTTGGCATTTAACAGATCTTTCTTATTTTCTATTGAAGAAATATACCTAAATTGTATTTTAATCATTTATTAAAAAAAAAAATTTTTTTTTAATTGATTTATCAAAAAAAGTTTTAGTTATTTATTTAAACTTTAGTTAAATTTAACTTTGCCTAAACTTTATTTTACTTTACCTGAATTGATAAAGCTCTAAATATAAAAATGAAAAATATGTATCTCATGAAAAAAAACCTTATTTCCAAAAACAGAGTTATATCTATTGTGTGGGCTGTAATACAAAGCAAATGCAATAAAGTCATCAATACTATCTAATACCTGTCATATCTATAGTGGTATCTACTTCTGTCTGTTATATAGTTCAAGGTGTCTTGGTTGCTACATTAGCTCACCTGAAATTTTCTATATATGTATGTTTTTGCTCTGTCATTTGTATTCTTGTGTTATGTCTAAACCTCTCAGTGTGTGTGTGTGTGTGTGTGTGTGTGTATGTGTGTGTGTGGAGTGAAGGGGTATGGTGGGGTTGTTCTTGTAATAATCCTTTCTCACCCTCCCCTTAAAACCGGTGTTGTGACTATGATATTTAAATATTAAAAATTCATTCATGCAAAAATTAAATTTGCGCGATTACTGGTTTAATGATCAGAAAACTTTTTTTCTTATTTGTATTAAAAAAAACAAAAGAAAAATAAGCAACAATATTTATTTTTGACACTTTTGTATGCTCATACCGCTCCAGCAGTATCAAAGTAGATAGTTAGTAAGTAGTTCGTCCCTGTTGAGGTTCTTGCTTGAGTAAAGGCAAGAGTTGGTGTTTGAATAAGAATAATCATGTTGGGCAGATGTTAACTGCATCAAGCTACTGTCTTGCAGAAGACCTTCTAGGCAAAGTCTTAAGGGGTTAAGCAGAATAATTTTGCTAACCAGCCTTTAACCCCTTTTTCATCTATTAGGCTGGCATAGGTGTAGACCTGTATTACATTGTTTCCTACCTAGGATGATGAATGCTGGATCTTCTTGACTCTACTCATAGTTTTTTGCTTGTGTCTCCTTGGTAGTGGCTATGCTACTATTTCTTTTATCTCCTAATGAGGATACCACTCTAATACTCAATTTAATGTTTAAGGTCGGCTGGTAGAAAGATTTCCTGAAATCTCTGGTAGCTCTCAGAGAGGCTGATTGAATCAACAGCTGTAAAATATCAAAGTATTAACAGTGCCATGTTGCGCAAGAATTAGTGTCTCTGTTTGTGCTTTTGGTGTGTTGTTGAGGCCACATAAGGAGCCCTTAGTTATGACTTTAAGTTAATTTAGCAGGACTGAGGTAACTGCATGACGCTTGGGATGTCATGCTCTATCTATCTATCATGCTCTATCTATGAATGAGTCAAGCTCTCTTTAACTTAAGCCATGTTGAAGTAACCAATAATATTAAACAAAAAAAACCACATCTAACTGTTTCAATATATCTTTCATAAGTATTTGTGGTCTTCAAAGTAACTTTCCATCAGTTGAATCTTAACTTTTAAAAATTCCCCAGACTTTCTTGCTCTTTGTGAAACTAATTTAAATTTGGCTGTTCTTTCTTCCAATCTCAGCATTGATGGCTACTATCCATTGATTTGACTCCAAGACTCCAATAGCCACATGTTTGGTTTGGTCCTATACTTATGCATTATGTCACCTATTTGTAAAGAAATCAGATTTGAATCATTTGCCCACTTTTCTATGTTCTCCTTTTTTTCAAGACTGCACTCTTTTAGTTATAACAACCTTGATGACCCTGCTGTCACTAAAATTCATAAATTTTGTTTATTTCTCAATCTCTTACTCAGATGGTTAACTAATTATTCCATCTCTAATTCATGGGTCTGATTTTATTACCTCTACCAGTATTGTTTTTGATAGGTCTACTTATAGAGAGTAAATTTAGGTCTAATGAAGAGAGTGACACAGAAACAGGAATTGCAAAAAAAATTTTTAGTTGGATTTATATTTTTGGTAATGCCGTGGTGATAGCTGTAGTAATTTTGATACTGTGGTAGTGTTAACAAGATCTTCAGAGATTTTCATGGCAACAGTAATTTTTATTTTTGTAAGTAATGTACCATTAGCATATGAATAACAAATATTCCAAACCAATAAGTTCAACATAATTTGCTAAAACAGTGTTATAACAATTTCGTGAGAAACATAGGTATTATTACTAGTTAAACTAACTCTATTATCTTATGAATTAGTTTTTAAATTAAATTTAATAAAAATAGTTTTTCAAATTTATGTGGGGTGGGGAAAGGGGTGGTTTTAATTTCTGAGTCACTCTTTAGTCTAATGATGTTATCATGTTTTGTTTTAGAATCACTGAGCGTTGGTTTTATCAGTTGTTTAAAAATACCAATTCACCAGTCTTTTTCCAATCAAAAGATAGACTGCTCCTTCAAAAAATTAATAAAGTATTTGATATTATTTGAATTTTTTTTTATTCTAATTTTGTTATCAATAGTAAACCAAGTACTTATATATTGTTTAAATGTTGTAGTTTGGTAAAATATTTAAATTTACTAGCTGTCGTGACCCATAAAATACAGGTCTTTTTAAATTTATTCCACATCACCCTTTTCTATACTTATTACTTACTTCAATATTTTGTAGTGAGATGTAGAAAAATAGCTATATACTTAAAGAAAAACTATACTAATTGTTTCCTTTATAAAGCAATGAAAAATAAAAATTTCTATTATAATTAACATTAATACACTTTAAATGTTATGGTAACCATTGCGTAAATTGCTGAATAGATATTAGTAATTGTCTAAATACCTGCTTATTACGTGACCATTGGTATAAAAAGTTTCACCTGACCAGACACGTAAAAACACGATCTTTCTAAGTCTATTCCACACCAACCTTCTCTATACTTTTTTATATGTATATCCTAGCTTTCCAGACCAGTAAAATACAGGTCTTTTTCAAAGCGACTGTTGTGCCGTAAAAACTGACTTTCGAGTTACAGATGTTCTGCAAACATCTATTATTATTACGTGGCGTTTTTTAGTTACATATATATTGTTGTATGCATATAAAAAATATATAGAATCTATAATGTTGATATATGACTAATATGAATAGATAGTTTTGATTTTATTCTACGATACAACAGCAACCATTTCTATACTAATTTATTCCACACAGATCATTTCTTACTCACTTTAATACTGTTTGGTAAATTTAAATAACTTTAAAATTTTTTAAATAAATTGCTTTTAATAAAGTACAAATCCAGACAGAATTAGCAAAAAAAAAAAAAAAATTTACATGCGCACCTTTTCCGTATACAGATCTTTTAAGAGTATCTTATTTAAGTGGATCATAAGAGATTTATAAAATAGTTTGTTTTTCTCATAAACCGATAAACTCTATTCCATATTGAATTTGTCTACATTATTCCTTCTAATATTTTTTAGTGAACAATAGATTATGAGCAAAAATAAAAGTTCACATACCTTTTCCGTATACTTAGAGCTTATTAAAACCTTTACCCCGTATATTTATTTGGAATGAAAAATTCTGAAGTTAGCTACTAAAAAAATTTAAGAAAGAAAATTGTCTCTTCACGGTGTTAGATACCCAGATTTACCTTATATAATATGTTAGGCACTTAACCTAAATAATTTTAAACAGACAATTGCAAAACATTTATCGAAAAAGAGTCTTTATAGTAAAACTTTTACCCTCTCGTTAAAATAATATTTATTTGCAAAGCAGTTGAGGACCAATAAAACAGATCATAGGGATTTAGGTAATTCAATACAAAGTGATAGGTAACCGTAAAATAGTAACAACGTGAAAATTATTCAAATACTAATTTACAACAATTTGAATTGTATATTATATTGGAAAGCTGGAAATACTCTTTTTAAAAAAATTCAGCTTTATCAACAATGTTAAAGTTTAAAAATCACACTAAGTTAAAAAATTAGCCATTTATTCTAAAAAATATTTCTTGGCTTTTAGTGAGCGATTAGGAGTAAGTTTCAGTAATGAAACAAAATAATCATTTTTAACAATAGACACCAATGTGAAGGTAAGCCAAGCTGTCTATCAACATAAAACATCACAAGAACATTACACAATGACAAACAATAACACCAGTAGTGTAGGCAGTAGTGTAGGCAGCGGTTTTACTAAATTTTTTATTAAAAATTTAGTAAAATCGCTTTCATTAAGTGCCAAGTAACACCAATAATTAGTAAAACTGCTTGGCTGGCAAATATATTATATTAGGATTACTTTATTATCCTAATAATAAGTAATTTTAACTTTTTATTATTTTTAAAAATAATTAAGTTGATAAAAATAATTTATTTGAAACATAAAATCAAATTTTTTAAAAATGTTCTTAATAAAAACATTTTATTTAAACAAAATGTTTTTATTAAGAACATGTTTAAAAATTTTGCTTTTTTTTTATAATTTTCTTTTAATTTTAAAATGCAAAACAAAACAATTTCATAGTTCTCTTTTAAAAGTGTTTTATTATGTATTTTTAAAAAATCATTAAAAATATTAAAAAAAAAAAGAGTTCTGACGATAGGACTCGAACACCGATCTCCACCTCCATATGTAGAAGCGCTAACCACTCGGCCATATTGACACATATCCTAGATAAAATTTGAAGTTATTTATAAAACAAAAGACTTTATAAATCGTAAATAAATGCTGTAGGTCAAAATTTATTACATATTTATTATTACAGTTTTGTTTAAAGATACACCTTCGTTTAAAGATACACTTTGTTCACGTTTTCTTATAAAACAAAGCTGCTGCAATTTTTGAATTTTTCACATATTCAACTGTATTTAGCACTTGTTACTGCTTTTTCCCAATTAATTTCAAATTTAAACCCCATTCCGTATTTTAGTTGAAAAGAAGACTTATCCATCAATATTTTCTCCCCACACCCCAGAGTTGCCCCTCTTCAACTTTTCTTATGTCAATGACCAACTCAAACACATCAAATTGACACCTATTGGCTATGAGAGTATATGTAACAAAGTACTTTATGACACTCAGCTTAAAATTATTTGCTTAATGTGCTTATGCAGTTGGTAATTGATCTACATGATCAATAACTCTCATGGTCTCACCTTCTAATTTATAAGCTTGATGTTGAATGCTTCAGCACACTTAAACATATCTTAAACAAATTAAACCATCCAATTACACTTAGTTTACACAAGAATGATTTTCTACTTTTAAATTTAACACCAGATCTGCAAATTCAACAGTGTATTTAAACAAAATCTACAAATATTTTTTTACCACCTGCCTAAATAAATCTGATGTATATTTTAAAACTCAATTAAAACAGTTATTTTTGGGTATATTACTGTCCATAGAACTCAATGTTTAATTTTTCTTATATAAATTATTGCTTTGTTTATAACTTTATACTTTCAGAATGTTAATAAACCTTTTTTTTTTTAATAAATTTAGAAAAGGCATCCTCTTATATTCATTCATGATGGTTGTTCTTTGGTACATACTATTTATGTTTATATTTATATTGCAGCAATTCTTGATGAGGTATGTTCAACGAAAATTCTTTTATATTGTTAATTTAGATAAGTTTAACTTTTTTATTTTTTGAAATATATAAAGTTATATAATGTAATAAAATGTAAATAATGTAATAAAATGTAATAATGTAATAAAATGTAAAATAAAATGTAAAACAGAAAGTAAATGAAATATTTATAAAGAAAATTACAATAGAGCAGTATGGGCACCCAAAAAAAGCACCCAAAAATATTTATTATTTGTTGTTTGTTTTTTTTGTTTTTTTTATAATTAAAAGTATGAAAAAAATGTTTTTGTTTAAAATACAAAAGAAAGTAACTAATTTTTGTTTATTTTAGCAAGTTTTAGCATTTTTTTTCTCAGGATAATAAAATAGATTAAAAGTAATTACATGCATTGACTCATTTAACCTTTAAAACTATCATTTAGTTACTAGCCAGACATTAGATTTTAAAAAATGAATCAAAACTTATTACAAAACTCTATTTAAAGACAATTGAGTATATGAAAAGGTTTTTTTAGAATGGTTTTAAAATATTCATACGGAGTAAAGTTAACTTTTGCTTTTTGGCAATTAGGAGTTAACCATTTTTAATAAAAAATGAACAAAAATAATAAAACTTTCTTAATAAAAATTATAAAAAATTTCTTAATAACAATTATAATAAAAAAATAAAAATAATAAAAATCTCTTAATAACAATTAGTCAACACACAAATTTAATTTTTAGATTGATGAACTTTTGATCTGCAACTATTTTATTTTACATTAAGAAAACAAAAAATCAACACAAATTTCATAAAGTTTCATATTCTTTTCCACTTTAATAATAATAAAAATAACTATTACAAATACATAATAAAAGTTTTATTAAGTTCTAGATATTTTTAAATTTAAGTGTTTTTAATGTTTAAGAAGATTTTTTTAATTGTATATATATAAATATATATATATATATATATATATATATATATATATATATATATATATATATATATATATATATATATATATATATATATATATATATATATATATATATATATATATATATATATATATATATATATATATATATATATAGTTCTATAAATTGTTGGTTTTGAGAGTACGGAAGGTAAAAAATGATTCTTTTGACAACAAATTACGTCACTAATTACTTTTGACATTCATCCAACATTTTCGTGTTGTCATAAAGTTAAAACCATTAATTTAATTGCTTTTTTAAAAAACCGCAAAAACACAAATTTAATTGACCAGAATGTTTTTAAAAACATTCTGAATGTTTTTAAAAATATAAACAATGTTTTTATTTTAATTTTTTAAAAAAAATGTTATTAATTTTTTTTTTTTCTACTGTAAATCATGCGCGAGTGTTGCTACATCGACTATCTTATAGCCTGACTTGCAACAGACTGCTGCTACATCGACTGACAAATAGCCTGACTCGCAACGGAGTGCTGCTACATCGACTGACAAATAGCCTGACTCGCAACTACATCGGCTGAGGGTTTGGTTTGGGCAGGCAGGCAAAAAAATAAAAAAATTCCGGACTTGCATTTAAATATTTTTTTTATGTCAACAAAATATCGGAAAACTTTCTGACAACGTTGCAAGAGTCTATATATATATATATATATATATATATATATATATATATATATATATATATATATATATATATATATATATATATATATATATATATATATATATATATATATATATATATATATATATATATATATATATATATATATATATATATGTTAATCATTAAGTTTATCATAATTTTCTCTTTTATTTAATATAAGATGCTTTAAAGCACTTTGAAATTTATTAACTTTTAGTAAAATTTGAATGAACAGAGTTGCTAATAATTAAAATGAAATGAAAATTAAAATAATAGTAAATGCATTTGTTAAACTTTTATGTTTTGTATTTGTATATATATTGGAAATTTTGTACTATGGACTTCTACAACAATTGTATTTTACTTTTGGCACAAGATGTTGAATGCTTCACAAGGTATTGGAGTTTTTAAATTGAATTGGTTTCCAAATATTTTTGAGTTTCAGACTTACAAATGCAATCTGAAGAACAACAATAAAAGTGCAATTATGTAATACCTGGTACTTGTAGCTTTCATCGGTTTAAATTCTTGGAGATAACAGGATTGCGACAGAGAGATTGATTGGTCATAAAATTTTTAAAAGTTTAGTTTTAGAATTTTACATCAAATTGCAATGCAATGTGTTGATATATTGCAATGCAATGTGTTGATAGAAAATTCAATAGTTATAGTTGTAGTTTTTTATAATTAAAGCTGAGATAAAAAAGTGAAGTAATTAAAAAAGAAATTATTTACATAATTTTGTTGTTATAAAAAAATTAAACATAACTTCATTTTCTTTATGGTTTCTAATAATGTTGTGTTTTTTTCCTAATGATTCATTAGTTCCCTTTTGCCTTTTTCAAAACTAATTTTAATATTTTAATTGTTTTTATATTGTTAATTTAGATAAGTTTAACTTATCTAAATTAACAATATAATATATTATTTTTATAATTGAGAATAGTAAATAATGTTAATGTTATTTTTAGATACCTGCTGTGTTTATAAATGGTATGGAAAAATTACTGCAAAAGTTTTTTATACATATATTTTTTGCTTTATTCTATTAGTTTTTCTTTGTTTTATTCTATTGCTTATACTATTGGTCTCTTAAACTTTATTCCTTTTAAATTTTTAAATTTATAAATATATTTTCTAAATGTCTCCTGTGTACTGTAGTACAATTTCTGTTTTAGAAAAACTTGTCTCATCTTTTTTACTAAGGTAATATTTTATATTTCTTATTTTTATGATTTTGGTGTCAGATTATGGTACCAGGTGTCTGATATCAGATGCAAAGCAACATCTGATATCATTGTACAAGTTCCATCTTTGATCATCTAATGTGCTTTTTATGATTAAGCATTTATCAATGTCTAGGTTTTTTAAGTTAAAAAAACTTCAAGCTTTATTTTTTATTTATTGTAAATATACCTAAACTCAAATATGTCTGTACCCAAAGAACATCATATCAATAACTTAAATTGGTATAAAAAGTTGCAATGATAGATAATAAAATAAATAAGTGTGTAATCTGTTGTTTAATTTTTTAAACAACAGATTAAACTTTTTTGTAAAATCTTTCATGAGCACGTTACTTTAACATTAAAATGATCAAAAGTTTCAAAAGTTATAACAATATGAAAGTTGTGCAAAGATATTAGAAATGTATTTTGAAAAATGAAATGATTTCTTTAGGAACTTTTTCTTCCTTTTTTAAAATGTTTTACTCATTTCTATTTTTTTTTACTTAAGTACGCATTTATGAATGAAAATGTGAGCACACACAATTAGCATTATTTTAGAATTGAAGGAAAATAATATATGAATATACATTGAATATTCATATATGATTTTAATAATAAATATCAATTATGTAAATTTATATAATTGATATTTATTTTATACAACTCATATATTTTTTAATATACAAAGTTGGTGTAGTGGTAGAGTGCTCCCTTTGTAAGCAAGAAGTTTGATCCATGTTCCTGGTAGTATTGTGCCTAGCTTGTTTCTCTGCAAAGTGGACTTGCTTGTTAAGGTTCGTGTTTTGGAGTTTTAGAGTTAGGAGATAAATTTTAATTTTGGTTATAACCAAAATTAAAAATGTAAAAAGTGTTATCTTCAACTACAGTGGTTCTCTAGGCCTTGGAGAAATTACACTATAAAAAAAATATTTAATGATCAACAAAATCCTTTTTAGTAAATCTTGAACATGTGACTTAACTTGAAGTAAAAATTATTTAAAAGTATAGTAAACAATGATTTTGTATAAACTTTTATTTCAACTTTCAAATTTAAATTAAACTTTTTTTTGCTGAATTATCAATAAATAAGATAGCATCAACAGGAACTTTTTACATCTAACAAATTTGTTACATCTAATGAATTGGTTTGTTACATCTAATGAATTGTTTTGTTACATCTAATAAATTGATTTGTTACATTTAATGAATTGATTTGTTGCATCAAATGAACTGGTTTGTTGCATCTAATGAATTTGTTTGTTACATCTAATTCATCATTATTAACTTCAATTTGCCAATTTTTAGAATATTTTAGTTAAGAACTCTTTTTGATATTTTCTTATTCTTTTAGAATATTCTCTTATTTTTCTTTTAGAAAATTGTGAATATTGTGTTTCTAGTTTCATATATTTATCTTTTAACACTTTGTCTGGCCATTATTTTGCTCAATAGCTGTGATATATATGTTGTTTTCATCATATGTGACATATATGTTGTTTTTATCATATGTGACATATATGTCATTTTTACTATAAGTTTTAATAGTAGTTTTTCTATGTATTTTGAATTGAATTTGTAGTTTTTGTTATTATTTTGAAGTTTTTATTAACAATATTATGTTATTGCTGATACTGTTGCAGGGCTCAATTTAACGGTCGGACATCGGACATGTCCGGCTAAAACCTCAGATTGTTCGATCAATATACAAAGTAATCGGACAGTTTGACTGACGGGAATTAAGTTCTACAAAATAAAGCTTAGACAGGAACAGCAAGCAATCGAACTGCTCTTCCATCCACAGAACTTGCTAAGTTGAAATGATTTTTTTTTGTTTACAACTTGACCACGACTGTTTTGATGATTTAAATGTTTCAGAAATGCGCTGAAAAAAGAAACGTTAAGCTAAACTAAAACTAGAAAAAAAATTGAAAAAACTAAAGAATAGTCAAAACAGTTCCTTACAAAAAACAAATTAGCTTTAAAATAAAACTATAAAAACTCAAAGTTAAAAATACTTTTTGTTACGTTTTTTTAAAAAAAACTTATCTTTTAAAGGTTTATTTAAAGTTATGCAAAGCGCTTTTACAAAAAACATTTTTACTTTTACTGATTGATGATTATTGATATATAAATTTATTTAAATTATTTTCAAAAATTTTATTTAAATTATTGAAAAGTTAAATTAAATTAATGAAAAGAAAAAAATATAATATTTTCAAGAAGTGAAAACATCTTTTAAAAAAAGTTGAAAATAAAAATTGTTTAAAAAAAGTAATTTAGTCTTTTTAAAATCGAAATTTTTAATCATTTCATGCTTTAATTAGTAAGTCATGCTTTAATTAGTAAGTCTAAAAAATAAACTTCTAAACAATTCTTGTAAAAATAAAAACAAAAACAAAAAAATAAAGCAATTAAATTATGAAAGTTTAATTTAACTTTTAACTTATTTATAATTTAAAGTTAATTTTTTAAAATTTAAAAAGTTATTCTTTTAAAAGATTTTATGAAAGACATGGAAAAATAGTTTCAAACATTTAGATTTAGCATTAAAAAAAAAAAAGATCAATGGTTAATAAATAAAAAACTTGACAAAAAAAGTCAATGGTTAAAAGTTATTTGTAAGGTAATGATTTTTTTATTGCACTTAAATTGTTAAAACATCAAAACAGCCATCGTCAAATTGTAAAGTAAAAAAAAAAAAAAAGTGTTGTCAGTTACAGCATGAAAATTTAAGTCTATCTAAAAAAGTATACAATATTAAATTAAAACTATTTTATTAAAAAACAAAAATCTGCAATGAAATACTCTAAATAATAGGGAAAGAAATTACGACTTCACTAGATAAACGTTAAATAAACTGAATAACATGACAAAGATTTCTATTGCATAACTCGATCAGGGCCGCCGAGCGCTGTCATGCCGCCTATGACAGCAATCTGCATTGGCGCCCTTATTTATCAAATTTTTCCTATATTATATATAAAGGAACTTTTTTTTTTAATTTAGGTACCTACATTTCATTTGGCGCCCCTTGGATATCTACCGTAAAATCGAAAAAATCATATTTTGAAAATTTGATTGGGCTTTGTCTGACCAAAACAGGTTTTGATCAGACATTTTGTTGGGGACTTAATTAAAAATTAAATTGAGCCCTATTGTTGCTATTTTTATTAATAATGTTACAAATAATATTATTACTATTTTTCTATAAAAAATTGAAGCATTTTAAATTGATAGTAAATTAAGTTTTTTTTAATTTTGTTCATTTCATTTTAAAGTTAGACAATGCGACAACTAACTTTTTTGCGAAAAGTTTTGGAGTCAGACGAAAAAAATTTGTATTTTGCACTAACATTTTCTTATTTACCTGGACAATTATATTCATGCTTTCTTTGATCTCACTAAAAAGCAATACGGTATTGGGTATTTTTGGGATATGCATTTATTGCTATGATGTTCTAACAAAATACTAAATTTATTTTAATTCAAGTTTTTAGTGTTTACAGTTGCACTATAATAAAAAAAATTAAAGTATTTTTATGTACTTTTTTAATCTAGTTATTTATTTATCATTTATTTATTTACTAATTTTTATTTGTTACATTTATTTATTTTTACATTTATTTGTTTACTAATCAATTAATTAGAGTTTTTCAAATATTTTTTAACTGGATTTTTTTTTCATTGATAAGTTTTCTCATCTAAATTCTCAAACCTCATGCAAAACATTTAGATGAAATATCTTCCATCTAAAAATAAAAATTTGTGATTTTTTTTGTTTCTGATTTCAAGTGTTTATTAAAATTATTAGATACTTTATGGAAAAAATTGGCTTTGTTTTTATGAAAGAACCTTCAGATGTTATTATGGTAACTTGTTTACATACATATATATATATATATATATATATATATATATATATATATATATATATATATATATATATATACATATATATACATATATATATATGCATATATATATATATATATATATATATATATATATATATATGTATATATATGTATATATATGTATATATATGTATATATATGTATATATATATATATATATATATATATATATATATATATATATATATATATATATATATATATATATATATATATATATATATATATATATATATATATATATATATATATATATATATATATATATATACATTGTTTGCTTATTATTTTAGAATTTTTTTATCATAAATTTTAGTATGAAGCAATCTTACATTTAAAAAAAAGGAGTTTCAGAGATTATTTAAAATTGTATTTGTGTGTAAAATAATTAGCATTTCAACTTGCTTTTTACTTTACTTTTTGCTTGGCTTGATGGATTGAAGGGGCTTGATGGGTCGCTTTGCAAAAGAATAAATTTTTGAATTGGTTGATGCATTAGATCTTTTAATTGAAAAATTATAAAATCTCATGAATTCTTAGACTATTGCTTAACAATCTTTACTAAGGAACAGTTTACTACACATTATTTAGAACACATTACTACCTTTGCACCATAGGAGAACTATAATAGAATAAGAAGTAACTATAATAGAAATAGAGTAAGAAGCAGTTAGATCAGACCAAAAGAGGCATTGCTGTTTTTGCTTTATTATAAATGACAAAATTATAATATATAAAATTAAAATATTTTGTCATTTATAAATTAGAATTATTAGTCTTGCTTGAATGCATTCTTTAGCGTAGAGATTAACCATCAAAGTCTTTTGTGACAAAACAAGAGAGCTTTATACCACAAATTGGCAATTTTTTGCTGCACAAATTTTTTCATGATACATTTTTAAATTTATCATTGACATTTCTTTTCATAGTAAAATTGTTGACCATGAAGTTGTGAAAACTTGCAGTATGTTTCATTTTCTTTAATTAGGCACATACTTTTACCCGCTGTTATTCAACAAGTTTTTTGCACGTTGAATTTCTTAAATTTCTTTATTCTTTCTAAGCCTCTTTCAATTTATTTTTGTGACATAACATGAATAAGACAGCTGATGAAAATTAATAACCTTTTGAATTTTTTTCTATAGCTTTTTTCTAATATATAGTAGAACAAAGTGAGGTTTGTAGTGAGGGGTTAGGAACACTTATTTTATAGCTTCAATATGTGTATATGTATATATATATATATATTATATATATGAGTTTCTTGTTCCAAAAGTTTAAGTAGCCCATACAAAGTACTAAAACATGTTTTATACTGTGATTTCTTTATTCTTTTATGTTCATGTTTTTTGAATCCATATACTGTACAGTAGAAAAATAGTTTTTCACTATAAAAATTGTTTGAGCAGATCTATTTGGACCAGTGATTAAAAGATTTGAGTTTTATTTCCATTAAGTGTCACAATTTTATTTATCATTTGTGTACTTTAAAAGAATTTAGATTAGCAATTTTTATCCTTCACTTTAAATTCAAAAATTTTTATTCTGTTAGATTAAAAGGCCAGGTCTTTGATGGCCTTTTAACCTTATTAATTTATTATTAAATTATAATTATTTATTTTAAGGCCATCTAAGTTGTGTCTATAATATTTGTTTATTTAAAATTTTTGTTTTGTTTTGATGAGGTTTAAATTGAAATCATTAAATTAAGTACAAGGTGGTAAAGTTGGAAAATTTCTGCAGGTTAGGAAAATGCCAAGGTGGAAAATTTTTGGCGAAATTTGAAATTAAATGCGGTAGTGGTAGAGTTTTTCACAAGTGAAAAATTCTCCATCACATTTCTTGCAGTACCGCGCTCAACTTGTTTCTCCTTGTTGTTTGTGTTTCAGAGTTAACAACTCTAGAGAGTGTTGTAACCACATGATAAAAAAATTTAATTAAAAAAAAATGTAGCCTCCTTGACTGTAGCGTTTTAAATGTAATTCACCTCTCCCTCAACCTTGGGGAGGCTGAACACTCTATAATGTAATGTTGGAGGCTGAACACTCTAAAATGTAATTGAGGATGAACACTCTAGAATGTAATTGAAATAATGGAGGCTGAACACTCTAGAATGTAATTGAGGCTGAACACTCTAGAATGTAATGTTACTGATATCAAAACTCAGCTCAATGAAATAAAACAACTGTTAAACAAAAACTTAAGTGACACCGAATTGGAAAAAGATAATTTACGGTTTAATAAGGAAAGATTAAATACAGTAAAAACTCCAACGCCAGACTCTCTTTTAGTTATCGGAAAAATATCTGATGAAAAAACTAACAAAAGTAACATGGATATAATTGAAAACATAGTTATAAATAATAATATTCAATTGAAAAATTCTTATCATAATAAATCAGGGGATCTTGTCCTAGTATGTAACTCAGAAGAATCTAAAGACCATTTGATGAATTCTCTCAAAGACACAAACAATCAAATAAAAGTAAAATCATATCAATTGAACATGCAAAAAATTGTCATCAGTGGTTTACCTAGAGAGTATGATGAAAATGAAGTTGTTAATATGCTACACTCACTGAGCAGTTTTATCCAAGAATTTAGCAAAGTGAACAACATCAAAGATCATTTTAAAATAGAAGCTATCAAACCGATAAAAAATAAGTCTTTGCGAAAAAAAAGCAAAACATTACGAGAAGGCTTTCAATGTTATAAAAACGAAGTCACACTTTGATTAACGTCCTGCAGGATATATGACAAACTCAATGTAATGTGTTGTTTTAACTGTCAAAGCTTCGGACATTATGCGAATGAATGCAAGAAAAACGATCCAACATGTGCTAAATGTAGCAAAAAACATTAAACCAGTCTATGCTCGTCTTTGGATAAAAAATTTGTTAACTGTGTTTTAGAGGGACAAAACAATCACTTTCACTGTGCATTTGATATTAAATGTCCTTCTCTTGAAAGAGAAAAGAAAAGAGAAACTTGATAGCAATCATTTAAACGCCAAGTCCAGAAGGATGATAGAACTTACATGAGTCATATATTATGCTCACTATGGAATGTTTGTTCTCTTATTAACTTCCAGACTTGGATTTGAGTGACCATTTTCTCATTGATTTTAAATTAGAACAAAAAATAGAAAAAAACACATACCACACTATCACATACAGGAATTAAAAACAGTAGACATTAAGTCTTTCAACAATGAAGTATTAAGAAATAAATGGAAAATCTCATCCGCTGAAAATATGAAAGAGAAAATAACAATATATAATCAAGTAATGAAAGAAATTGTACAGAAACATGCTCCTTTGAAAACTAAAATAATAAAAATAGTGAATACAGCTCCTTGGTTTAGTAGTAGGAAAAGGAGAGTTCTGGCTCATTTTCATTTTCAACCATATTTTTAACCATATATTTAATTAAATATATAGTTTATTTTAATCCATAGTGTGTATAAATTGTATAATTAAGAAATCAATTTTTAAATCAATTTTTTTAAATTTAAAAATCAGTTTTCAAATTAGTGCTAAATTCGTTTATTGTCGTCACGGAATTTTCTTGTGTGATGTCATCAGTCACGTGACTAGTCAGTGACTTATTGTCAGTGACAGTGGTTTATTTGCTAAAAGATGAAGTAGTCGTTGTTATAGTGGTATTTGTATTAGCATGAACAGAAGTAGCTGATACGCATTTGCAATGGAGTTTTGCATTTTTATATATACAAGATAATTATTTAAAGATTTTTCAATTCTTTATTATCAACCCATGAGTTAAAAGTATCAGAATATCCATACCACTTTACTAATGATTTGTGTGTCCTTTTTCAAACGCTCCTTTCTTTTTAGTTATTCTCACTTTATCACCTATTGAAAACTAGGGTTTAATAGAATTTGATCTCACTTTTCCATTTAGATTTAGAAATACTATATTCTCATTCTTTTTATTGGTTGCTTTAGATGGAGTCATTTGAATTGAAGAATGCTTTGTATTGTTGTATTGATTTACCATTTTATCTAAAACGTCAATATATTTTCTAGTAGAGTTAGCAGAGAAGTACTTGAACATTTTCTTATTCATTGTTCTATTCCAGCGTTGAACTACACAGCTTTTTTCTTCATATCAGTCGAATTGAGCTGCACTCTTAATGCTTTAACATGCTTGTTATAAAATTCCAAGCCTTTATCTACCCATAATTTCGTACACTTTTTTTCTTTAAAGATTTTACTGAAAGCATGAGCAACTTCAATTCCAGTTTTGGTCTTCAATGGAACAATCTATCTGTACTTTGAAAATAATCTATCACCATTAATAAGTATTTTATACCGTTATTGTGTTTAGAAAAGGCTTGCATGTCAACTAAATCAACAGCTCATATTTCATCAATCTTATTTGCAATTACTTTTCTTTTTCTGAAATGTTTTACAACAGGCTTATGAAGTTCGTTTGCAAGTTCATCAGTCCATTTCAGGTTTTTGCTTTTTTTGTTGATCGCTGGTAGTTTTTTGACTTGACACCTAATCCAAACTTTGCTTTAGCAGATATGATAGGTTTTATAGTCTTTCTTTCTAATTTTTCACGTGGTGTTGGATCTTGTATAGCATTCATTTGTTCAATCATTTGTTTATCAGCTAAATTTCTATGTTCTTTATCTGGAAAATGCTTATAAACAAGATCATGAATATAAGCTGCATTATCAACTCGATCTACAGGCTTACTCCATTCTTTATATGCATCAGTAGAAGTTAATCTTGCATCTAAATTCATACCAGGTATATGCATTTTGCCTGGAAATTTTGCCCATGGTAATTTTTTATTCTTTGTAAATGAATTAAGCGATTCTACTAAATCACCTCCTTTAGAACCCTTGGATCCATAAGAATTAGTTCCTTTTGTAAATTGAGTTTTTGTTGTACCACAATTAGCACAATTTCCACATATGTTTTATT